TCCCATACCATTTACCCAGATGGTGGATGGGGACAGCCATACCTGGCCAGGACTCAGTGCCTGGGGAGCCAAAGTGTCCACGCTCTTATTGGGGACGTGCCTTTTCATTACAGCAGCTGCCCAGGCTCTGCCGGGACGCGGGCCCTCTAGTCTCTGTGTGTCCCACTCCATTTGTGTACACAGGGTGCGGGACACTTCCTAACCTTATTTGGAACCCCATAAGTAACTCCTCAAGGGTGCTCTCTAGACACCTGCCTGAGAATGCTGGCGAGGAGGTGGCTTGTGACATCTGGGACTTATCCTTCACTCTGCTGTGGATCAGTGGAGTGACCTGGGCCAGGGCACTTCGTCTCACTCACCCTCTGCCTCTTCATTGTCAAAAAAGGGGCTGATCTTGTGTCGTAGGTGATTTGCAGTGATGATTCCAAGGGTGGTAGGTGGGGCGATGGCCTCGCCCACACTGGTCCCTGGCAGGAGGAAGCTGGCAGCACTGGTGCAGGCCTAGAAGAGYGGTGGTCCCACTGTGAGGCAGAGGATCTCTGGCACGGATGCACAAGGAAACTGTAAAGAGTTCCCACAGCAGCACCATTTGTGTAGCTGGATGTTGAACTGATGTTTAGCGGAGGATCCAAGGCCCAGTAGCTGTGGAACCATGAAGGCACTGCCAACCAGGGCAGAGGACACGAGGGAGGTGCCCCAGGAGCCTCTTAGACGCCTTCATCCATGCGAAGGGCATAAAGGGTCAGGAATTAGAAATTTTAAAAGTATTTTTAAGGATTTTTGTTTTGGGGGGGAATCGATTGTTGATTCCATCCTTTCCTCTTAGGAGGGAGGAGTGGCGGCTGGGGGGGGGGGTTCCCTCTCCTCCCAGGCCACCTGGAGTGATTGACGTGGGCCCTCTGGGATTTTTGGATCAGTGGATGAAAAGTTCAAAGGCCAGAGGGTGGCTTTCAGCCAGACACCCAGAAAGATAAAAGGAATGGCCTCCAACCGGTGTTGGGCTGTGGGAGGCACAAACGTTCCCCCACTGGAGATGTGAGCCCCACCAAGAGGACCAAGTGCATCACCTAGGATTCTGCCCAACAGGGACACCTGGAGGGGCGATGGGACCCCCATGAGAGGAGGATGCATGGAGACTGGCTTCCTTGTGCTTGGGAGCCATGGAAGGAGAAAATAGCTACTTGAGCAGAACATCTTTACCTGGGTCCAGGGGACAATAGGTGAGGGACCATCAGCACTGCTCTGTCCTCCAGAAACCTCTGAAGCTCTTCGGAGAAGAGTCAGGGGGAACACATGCCCCCCAGAAGGGAGACCATCATAGTCAGATAAGAGTCTCCCTTCCTCCCCCTCCACACCCCAGCCCCACAGAGGGCAGAACCAGGTTGGGCCAGTTGCAGGTAGGGAAGGGCCGTGCTCTGCTTTTCTGCCACCAGGTGGTGCACAAGTAGCCAGCAGCGGGACTTGTCACTTAGGGAAGGCAAGTGGCAAGTCTTAAGTCAAACCCAAGTTTAAAATTTTAATAATTACCTATACATTGTTCATCTTAGGGATGCTAAGGCACCTAATTTTGTTTTAAGCCTAAATAGCCAAATTTGTTCTTCACTGGTCCATATTGGAAGCTTGGACAAAAATCTGTGTTCAGGAGCCCCTCCATCTGCACCCCCCTCAGGTTATTGGATGCAGAGCTGCACACAGGACCAAGGACAGTCAGCAGAAGATGAAGATGCACCCTACCGCCTACCGCCAATTCCTTGGTGTGAGCTTGAGCTTATGCCCATTTTTTTTTTTTTTTTTTGGTACTGGGGATTAAACTCAGGGACACGCGACCATATCCCCAGCCCTATTTTGTATTTTATTTTAGAGTCAGGGTTTCACTGAGTTGCTTAGTACCTAGCTTTTGCTGAGGCTGGCTCTGAACTCACAATCCTCCTGCCTCAGCCTCCCGAGTTGCTGGGATTTACAGGCGTGTGCCACGGCGCCCGGCTTTGTGCCCGTTTTTGCTAAAACGTGTGGAAGAGAGATGCTGGACCACTGAGGTTGCCCCAGAGGGCACTGGGATTCCTGAAGGGAAGTCTCCCTCCTTCAAAAGGGTACAATTTCTGAGACACTCCTGTGAGTCTGCCGGCTGAGGGAGGGAGGATCCAGGCTGGGGACCCAGCGAGGGGAGGTCCCTAGGTTGCCTAAGGCAGCACAGGGACCCTGGGCAGGAGAGACTGGAGGAAGTCTGGGTTTCAGGAGGACAGCTTGGGCATCCAGCTCTGGGATGGCAGGGCAGGGGTGCTGTGGGCAGCCAGCAGGAGGACTGGGGTCAGGGTTGGAGAAGCAGGCTCTGGAGAAGGTTCAGATGTGAGCTACACCTGCAGGCTTGAGCCCCTGTGCTGAACTTCCCCGGCAGGCAGGCCATGTGGTGTATCTCACTGGGTGTGGCTCGTGTCCAGGTGGTGCCTGGCATTGAGATGTGGGCGGGTTTAACAAACCTAGGCACTGACGCCACCGAGACTTCTGTCAGCCGTGATGACATCATGGAGGTCCATGAAGGTCCTCATCAGAGCAGCAGACAAGTATTCACAGGTGAAATGACACAGGGCTGGAATTTTCTTTTAAAATGCTCCAGCAGGTGATGAGAATTTCTAAGTGTCCAGGATCTTTGAAGTTGGGTAACTCTCTCTCCCCTTTTGGGGTGTTTGAAATTCTCTATAGAGTTAAAAGAATGGAGGGAGAGAACCTGCTGGAAGGCTGGGCCTAGTCAAAGTACAGGCTTCTCAGCTGGCTTTGCCTGGCAAATGCCTCCCAGACAGAGGCCAGAAGGTCACATGGCACTTCTGTGAGTTCTGCCTGTGAGCTGGAGTGAGGGCAGCCTGCTCCCAATCACAGAAGGACGAGCTGAAGGATGGAATCTGACCTTTCAGTGAACCCAGACAGCCCCTGCCCAAGGCAGCCTCCTCCTATCCCACTGCTGGGGTGCACCACACAGTGGAAATCACAGATGTTAAAATCTGTAAATGCAGCCAAGGCGGTGGCTCACGCCTGTAACCTCCGCTGCTTGGGAGGCTGCAGCAAGAGGATCTCAAGTTCAAAGCCATTCTGGGCACCTTAGTGAGAGCCCTGTCTCAAAACCAGGGGTGTAGCTCAGTGGGAGAGCACTTGCCTAGTGTGCATGAGGCCCTGGGTTCAACCCCCAGTGCTGGGAGGAAGAATCCCTTAGGGTCTTTTTTCACTTGGGAATGTTCTTAGGCTAAGGAACTTACTTATTGTATCTACAATTAAACAGCACTCTTTACTTTCCTGTCTCACATGTGGCAGGGAAGCCAGGCTAAGAGCTAATAGAGCCACAGGCTCCCGAGAGCCAGACGACTTGGCCACACAGGCCAGCAGCTGCCCCTTTCCTGGGGCCTCTTGCTCCAGAAGAATCCCAAAGGCTCTAGGCCTTGCTTGCCTGAGGGGTGGTTAAGTGGTGGGAAGCAGTCATGGCTCACCATGAGCCGGAGAGCAACCACCATCTGCAAGGTTCCTAGCGCATCATCCAGCCACAGTGCTATTTCATAATTGCCTATATTACTAGATGTAAAACTACTATAGCTATCTTCATAATTAATAAAACAGCATATAAATCTATACACAAAATCCTAGTGTGTGTATATATGCCACATTTTGAGTTTCAAGTCCATAATGGATCTCTTTCCCATCCTTATAGCTCATTATTCCTTCAATTATCCATTTAGGACTAATTGCTTTTCACCAGTGTTTGCATAACAAAGGGAACTAACAATGGGATTGTGATCAAGCCACATCTCCAGAGCCATCTCATCTGATGAATGCTTCCCCTCCATAGGAAAAAACAGTTCTGTCTGCAAACGACCCAGGTGAAGACAACAATCTGTATGTGAGACAGAATATAGTATGAATCACATCTAATTTTAAATATTTTAATGTATATACTTTCACGAATATAGGTCAATAAGAAATCCACTTTTCAAGTTTTATTTCATTATAGAATATATTTGATAAGGATAATACAAACAGTCATCTTTAATACATGTTGCTTACAGGTGCCTGCACTGCCATGGCAGGCTGGAGATGTCACGAAGACTATTTCCAAACGTCACACCTAATCAGCCACTGAAAACATCCAGTGCCGTGGCATTCAGATGACGCCATTCACTCACTTGCCTAGAATGAGTAAAAATCTTAATATTTGTTCTTAAGTTGGTTTATTACTCTTCTATTTAAAAATCCAAGATATATTCCCCAATGTAAACAATGAATTTCAATCTGTCCCACAATGGATAAGGCCTTCTTGACAGATTGACACCACCTGCGTCTTACTCATCAGGACACGGTCTTACTCCATACTGTTGGGAGCCAGCCACGCACAAAAGACAGAAGAAGCTGCCTTCATGCCTGGAGCCTTCTGAGACGTCTCCCCCTTGGGTTGACGGGACACAGAGGAGATTCCTCCTCAGCTTGGTCTACTTGGTCATAAAATACACATGTACAATGTCCGTAAGCGTAAAGCAGTGGAACTAGCCTTGAGGGTCTGTCATGAGCTGCTAGCATCCTACAAGCACAACACCATATCATGCCAGTTAACACACAGGGGAAGGCGGCTGAGCGTCTTGCCGCTGATCAGGGTACGTGAGCGGGAGCGGGAGCAGAGGGGCTGTGGTTCACAGAGGTGCTCAGAGGCCGACTGCGAGTGGCTAGGACGACAGTCTAAGTCGCATACTCTTGCGCCCGTGTGCCCTGCTGCGACAGTTGGTCTGAAGCACAGGCGCCCATAGAGGAAACGAGCCTCTATCACCAGCCTCCCCACGGGGGACCAGAACGACATCTTAGAAAACGTAACCAAAGAAAGTCTCATATCTGCATTTCCCAATCCATCTGTGCAAAATCAGTGTTCACTCTTCTCAAGGACCATTTGGTGAATGGCGGTCAAGTTCAGTACCTCGTCATCACTGACACTGGACTTAGCAAGCTAGATGGTGGAACAGTGAAGACTATGTACAATATTTTAAAAGGCATTCTGTGACCATTTTTGAAAAGTTCATAGAAAAGTGACACCAGTTTCTTCTGTTGATGCCACGGTCACGTAGACCTTGGGACCTTTTCTATATGCCATGTGCACAGTTTTATATATTATACAAGAAAAGCGGAAAGGGGACCGCTCTCTGGCAGGGCGCTCGCGGACTCCCTAAGCTAAGGTAACCGGTAGAGGGATAGTTTTCCTGAGGTTGTAAGAATTTTTAGACAAAACAGAAATCACAGTGACCAAGTGGAACGCGAATCTGTGTCTCCTGGGTGCGATCTGCTCCCGTGGCTCCCGCAGGGCCTACACGACTCGCCACTGCATGATGCTTGTGTCCTTCCCGCCCGTGGAGATGAGGTGGCTGTCTTCACAGAGGAAGTTGACGTTGGTGACGTGGCTGCTATGTCCGCCGTATATGTGGCTTGGAGCCTGGAAACGATGACACAGAGAAAAAAGCTTACTGTAAAGCAGGAGTGGAATCAGAAAGTACCAGAATTCTAGGTTCAGTCCTGGACCCCATCATGTTCTTCCTCAAGCAGAAGCTCTCATCCGGGCACCTGCTGGGGGTGCCGGACACAGGAGGGACACAGACACAAACTCCATGGAGTCCTTGTGGTCTGGTGGGGATGAGCCAAGTGATGCCCTAGGCCGAGGTACCTCAAGTATCAGAAGGTGGCGCCAGGCAGGGGTCCACCCAGAAGCAGGATTGACTGGCTGCTGGGGCAGCAGGGAGGGTCTCCTGGCTGCAGGAGAAGGGGGGGGGCTCCCGGCATGGGGTGGGCTCAGCAGGGCTGGGACATAGGGAGCGTGGGTGGGAGAGGGAGGAGGTGCAGAAGCTGCACAGGTGACTGTGGACCTGCAGGGCTCTGCGGCCCTGCGGTTTTTCCAGTGGGGAGCTGCGCAGGTGCTCAGAGCTGACGTGAGCAGTGTCACATCTACATGGTGGCCGCGAGGGAGGAGACTAGCGAGGACACCTCCTCACCCTGAACTGAGAGCAGGGGTAGGAGAAGAGGTGCACTTTGCCAAAGTCGTCGCCCGTTGACAGCAGTTTTTTCTCATGGGCCCGACAGACGGCGTTGATGTCGGTTCCATCCGAGCCTTCTGGCCACACTCCTGAAACAGACCACAGTCGGCACTGAGACACCAGAGGCAGGGCACAGGAGCAGGCCCCGGGTGTCACCACTGCAGAGCTGCCTCGAGGCGCGGCTTCAGAGGCAGGGGCTCGGCCTGAGCGGGGCCTTTCCTCGGGGTTCAGGTTCACCCACTCGGGCTGGTCTCAGGAAGCCCTTCCCCACAGCCCTGCGGTGCTGAGTGGGGATCAATGGCAGGCTTTCTGGTGCCCACCTCTCTAAGGCCCCTCTGGACACAACACCTTTCCCACCTTTTCCTCATATGATGGAGGCTGACTAGTCCCCAAGGTTACAGTTTCCTTTTTTTGGGGGTTACTCTTTACATGTGAAAGTTTCCAGAACTGGTTAGCCCTGGGCCTGTGTGCCTTCCAGATGTTCCTTGGTGCTGGTTTTGAGGGCTGCCATTTGTCTGCTGGCTGCCGGGTAGGTGTGCCTGTGGGTGCCACTCAATGACTAGGGCTCCAGAGCCCTGTGTCCAGGTGGTGGGCAGACACCATTGTCTGACTGTTGCTCTGGGAAACCCTTTTGGTTCCAGAAACTTTGGGCATAAGAGAGCTGGATGCATGTCGGCTTCTCAGCTGGCATTCTAGGGAAGACAGAGGGGCTCTTAGTGTTAAACACCAGAAAATGGTAAAACAACAGAACCAAGGAGGCTGTGAATTCTTACCAAGCTATAGACTTGTGGTCTCTCAAAAAAGATGACAATACTACTTTTCCTTTTTTTCTACTCAATTGTGGCGATTTATTTTAGGATATTCATGAATATATTCCTAAACTGAACTTAAACAAAAGTGCAGTATTTAGTTTAAGGACCAAAAAATGTCAAACCCTAACAAATAACAAGGAGTGCCACGTGGTTCATTTAGGTGTGTCTGACACAACCTGATGTGGAAGATTCTAGAGAACTATCTCAGCACCTGTTCTGTATCATGGAAAAGGGGTAAAAGCCCATTTCTCTAGCTCTGCCCAGCTGGGCATGGCCAGGTCACTCTGGCCCTTTCCAGGGAGCTGAAGGGGTGTCTGGTGGGCACACACTGAAGCCGAGCAATTTGACAAGACTGGAGACTACGAGGCTTCATAACTATTAGAAAAATATCCTAAAAGTAGACACGTCTTGTGTTCAAACACCTGCAGAACTTACCAAAGACATGGAATCCCAAAGTGCAGGTATAGGTAGCCCACTCAATGTCTCTCGTAGTCTCCACACTTACAACTTGCTTGCAAGCAGAGGGGACCCCTGGAAAAGGCCAATGGTCTGGTGACACTTAATCCAAGCCCCCAGCTCTCCCTGGGTAAGCCTGAGTCCTCAGGACTGCGCCCCAGCAGGGGACACCCCCACGTTCACCCCATGGGGACTGTCTGGGAATAGAGACCAAGTTCCAGGCTCAGTGTAGGCTTCTTCTTTGTTTTCTTCCCATCTCCTCCCCCAAGTCTATTCCCACAGTCTGGCTTTTCTGGTCCTCAGGCCTCTGCTGCCCAGGACCCCTCTGGAGACCTGAACCCCACCCTGCCTCTGGGGTCGGGCTGCCCAGACCTCCCTAACACCCTCCAACAGCCTCAGCACCTGGGGCTCCAAGTTGGAACTGGAAACAAATGGAAACCAGTCTCCCCAAGAGCCCAGAGACTCCCAGGTGACATAACTGTCCCTCAGATGAGCTCTGACCACTGGGGAATGAGAGTGTCTGAGAAGGTTCTAGACTCAGAGATCGTCCCCCCAAACCAGCACAGGCCTCTGTGCCTGTGTTGGGCAGGACCTGGGGAAGGAGCTGGGGGACCAAGTGGGGAGGCTCAGGCCTGTAGTGCTGCTTGCCCAGTGCCTGCCTGTCCTGGCTCAACAAGAGGCCAACATGCCCGGGTGGCTGACCTCCTCCCTACCCACCAGCTCTGGGCCCACGGCCCGTACCTGAGCCCCAAACTCCTCTCTGTAAAAGGGATGAGCCAGAAAGTGCTGTGGATCAGGAGGAAATGTAGGTAATAACACTGAACTTTCCAGCTGCTTCCAATGGGGTGGAGGCCAGGCCTTCCTCACACTCCATGATCCCCTCTGCTTAGCCCAGAGCAGGGGCCAGGTAGTGTCTGAGGAGCTAGTGCACGGCAGGTCCTAGGTGCTCAGTAAGCACCACCCTTTATCACCCAGCCCTAGGTCTCCTTCAGCCATGGACTGGCCAGCGGGAGGCTGGGAAAGGAGGAGGAGGAGGTCCTGGGGACTTTGTGGCACCCACCTGCTTTGGGTGACACCTTTACCAGGGCCACTCTTGCTGTGACAGCTGCAGACCTCATTCTCATCCCACAACTGCCCAACTCAGCCTCTCCAGCGGGGCCCAGCCTCTCCTCCTAGAGACGGCCCACGCCAGCCTGAACCCTGTGTGTCAGCACCGGGAAGGTCAGGGAGGTGGTGCAACTCCTCCATCTTACAGAGGAGGAAACCGAGGCCTGGGGAGGACACCATAGGCTTGAGCCCTGTGGGCCCATTTGGTCTCACTGCGACCGTCCCATGTGACCTAGATGTAGATACCTCCTGGGTTGTTACTCACAGTAAAGGATTTCGTAGTCCCCGGAGTTGGACACGAGGTACTGAGAGTCTGCAGACCAGTCCAGGTGGGTGATGAAGCTGGAGTGACCCTGGGGAGGACAGCTGATGAGTGGCACGCTGGCACACACCCTGCCTGGCAGCATGTGGCACGGGAATGCCGCGCTCCTGTCGGCGAGACGCGGGTACCTACCGAGCACTTGCCAACCCGCGCGTACTTCCTCCCGTTGTCCCCGACTCCGTAGATGTAGATGCAGTTGTCATGAGAGCCGATGGCTAAGAAGTTCCCATCTGCAGGAGCAGGACAGAGGAGAGGGCAAGTGTCACAGCAAGCACTCAGTTCACCAGAAGGAATGACGCCAGCGCCAGCAGAGACCGAGGCCAAACAGCCCCGTGGATTATTTCAAAGAGAAGGATTTGTTTTTGAACGAGTCCTGAACCAATTCTGAAGTTACCCTTGGAAAAATCCACACCTGACCAAATTATAGAGCCTGGTAACAACTTATAAAATCTTCTTGTACACTTTTTTTTTTTTTTTTAAAGAGAGAGAGATATGAGAGAGAGAGAGAGAGAGAGAGAGAGAGAGAGAGAGAGAATTTTTCAGTATTTATTTTTCAGTTTTTGGTGGACACAACATCTTTATTTTTTTTTATGTGGTGCTGAGGATTGAACCCAGCGCCCTGCATATGCCAGGCTTGAGCCACATCCCCAGCCCTCTTTACTGCTTGAGCCACATCCCCAGCCCTCTTTACTGCTTGAGCCACATCCCCAGCCCTCTTGTACACTTTTAAAATATAAGTTTATGCAGTCTCACAGAACCCTTCCCTGTCACCCCTTCCCAGCCACGCAGGATGGAGACTGACTCCTTCTAGGGCTGCTCTGCCCATGGCCTCCTTGGTGACCGAAAAGGCTCTTCCCAGCCCGTCCCGTCTCTCTTCCCAGGGGCCATCCTTGGCGCCTTCTTTGCCGAAGTTCCTGCCATGGAAAGCCTTGCCCATCAGGCTAGCTGCTGTGCCAGGTGACAGGGAAGGAGCTCACCGTGACTTGGTCTCCTGGCCGGCAAAGAGCACTCTGAGCACTATGCAAGGGGAGGAAGACTCACACCTGGCATGCGCGGGGTGCTGGGTTCAATCCTCAGCACCACATAAAAAAAATAAAATAAAGATGTTGTGTCCACCAAAAACTGAAAAATAAATACTGAAAAATTCTCTCTCTCTCCCTCTCTCTCACAGGGACAGCACTAGGCCGGGAGACGGGTCCTCAGCAGGGGCCAAGGGAAGGACACAAGGCAGTGCAATGTCAGTGGTGGTGACCTGGAGCCACACAGATGCCCCGGATGTAACGAAGGGCAGTGGGCTCTCTCCACTCCCACGGCGGCTGCAGGAGACTCATAATTCAGATCTCCACTCGTGACGGACGCACTCTGTGGCTTTTCTAAGTTCTAATGTCACTTTAGTTGGCTTTCTGACGGCTTTCAGACACCTGAGATGACTAAAAGGAGGAAGGATTTATCTTGGCTCGTGGTTTCAGGGTTTTAGTCCATGGTCTCTTGGCTGCTGCTTTGGGCCTGTGGTGAGACATAGCATCATGGTGGAGTGTGTTGTGAAGCAAAGCTGCTCACCTCTTGGCAGCCAGGAAGCAAAGAGGGAGAGGAGCAAGCAGGTCCCAACATCCCCTCAGGGGCCTGCCTCCAACAACCCAACCTCCGCCCACCAGGCCCACCCACCTCCTGAAGACTCCCCAGCTCCCAGCAGCACCATCAGCTGGGACCAGCCTTCAACCCCGGGGCTTCTGGGGAATACTGAAGCCACCACTATCACAGATGGTGAGAAAGTGCCAAGTGTCCGGTAGAGACCACACTTGGAATTTTGATCTTTGCTGGGGCTGATGCTACGTGGCTTGAGGCTCTCTTGGGATGTGGGGCAGCTGTGACAACGGCACTCTAGCATGCCGTGCCGTTAAGCCAAGGTGTCCCAGCTTACAGTGTTTTCATGCAGTGGTGGGTCTGTCAGGACATACCCCGTCGGGAGTTGGGAGATCTGGAATAAAACCAAGTGTCTGGCTAATAACTAAACCAGCCAGGGTCAGTCAACAGGCTAACAGAGGCTGCATGTGCCTAGGCACCATCGGCTTCTCCTGTCACCAGCCTTCCTCTCCCCATAGGCTCTGGGCCTCACCCAGCTTGCCCAGGGACTATCTGGTTCCTAAGCCTATCCCACTAAGCTGCTCTTTGGTCAAGATGAGAATCAGCTGGAGAACTCCAGGAGACAGAGCCAGGGCCCTCACCCAGAAGAGGTGGGGCGGCCGTTTTCCTGGTGGACCAGCCTGTCCTGCCGGGGCTGTTGGCACAGAGCCTGGGCACCTAACAGTGCCTCACAGAGGGTGCAGTTAGTCTGGGCTGCAAGCAAGAAAACAGGTTCTGTCTCTCAGCGGTCTCTGAGAGGCAAAGTGACCCAGGTGGCAAAGACGCTGACCTGCTGGCCTGGAAGCTGAACATGTGCCTCACCATGGCATGGACAGGGGAGTGCTGGGGTGGGGGACACCGTTCAGGGACAGGATGGCACAGGTCTCCATGGCAGGGCGCCCTCCCTCCAGGCACTCTGGCATGGGAGTGTGGGACACCATGTGGCAGAGGAGAGAGGCTGGCTGGCGGGCAGGGCCCACATCCTAGCAGGGCTCAGGCCAGGCGGGAGAGGTGAATTTGAGGCTGGAAGTGACATGGTGAGCGCCGGGTCCTGACTCGTCCTAGCAGAAGCAGAAGAACCCACGGCTCAAAGGCTGGGGGATGAGACTAAGAACAGAGCAAATGGCCGTGGTGCCCGGTGACCACGCTTGTCCTCACTCGCAGAGAGCCATCCTCCCGCCACGGGCTGAGACCAGGAGAGTCCGAGAGGTGTGTGCAGCTGACTGACGGCCCTGGACGTTATTGTCTTCCTATGTCCTTTAAAAAGTATAAAACTTTAATCCAATCAAAATGCGTTCTGTCTACTCATAAAGAGGCTGGTGCGTGTCTCGCACAAGAATCCCCAGACTCTGCTTCTGTCTTCAGTGACCCCCAGGGGGCTGGCATCTTGCCAACGATTTAGCCAACTATGGACGCAAAAATAATTCATCTCATAGCCCAAGACCACCGTAGGTAAAATGCTTCAGAAGTGAAAACCAGCTGATGACGTGTGGCGGAGACGGCAGATGCCCACAGACACCCTCGTGGTTTGTGCTCTTGGGCTAGGCAGGATGCCGGACCCTCTGGTGGTTCTCATGCCCCAGGACCCGCCTGCTCAGCCCCAGCCTGCTCCTGCAGTTCCAGGACTGGCTTCTGAACTCCTTCTTCACCCACAGCTGAGGCAGGTGACAAGGGTCTTTTCTGCTGTGCTCACGGTTAATCCCACTGCTCAAGGGCGACCATCTGGCTTGACTTTGTGAATGAGGTAACGTCTCAGTCACCAGGACCCACACACCCAACGTCAGCCTTGAAGAGCACCTATGAGGCAGCAGACCACCCCCCGGCCGCCATCCCGCCACAGCTCCACTGACTGCTCTTCCCTCAGCTGCCAGCACAAGATCCAGAACCTTCTTGAGACTGAGGGAAGGAGGAGAGGCCCCCCTGATTGAAGGACAGCTTCTTTTCTTAGCAGGCCCAGGGATGTGTTGAGGGTCTAGGCTGAGATCTCAACAGCAGGCTGCTGGGTCCTCTGGCAGTGGCTGTTGTGCTTGGACACCTGGTGCCGCCTTCCTTCTGGGTCTAAAGGGTATATGCACCTCCAGGCAGCAGGTGCACATGCTGGAATCTGCACTCGGGCATGCAACTGGTATTTACCGAGTGCCTGCTCTGTGGTGCAGTCAGTGCTGTGTGCAGTGGGGTCCCTACCAGTAAGGGACCCTGGGCCACTCCCCAAGAGTCTGAGTTCACTGCTTGGGCTGTTCCAGGGGCCTTCACGGCTGCCCAGGCTGCCAATGACATCACGTCTCCCGAGCGTCTGCTCAGTGCTCCGTTCTCCAGAGGGCACATTCACTCCTCCTCCGTGGGAGCCTAACAGTCGCTTGCCATCTGTTTTGAGAAGGATGCTTGCTAACGAGGAGGCACTGCTCCCCTCAGGAGCCTGGGCCTGGCCCAGAGCTCTCACCTTTGCCCCACACAGCCTGCAGCCCACAACCGGAAGTCCAGGATGCAGGGCTTCCAGCAGAAAGAGCACTCTGGTCTCCTGGGATGGTCACTGGTGTCACTGAGGGAAAATGGAGGTCTCCAAAGGCCCGGAAAGCTACATGGGATTGAATGGACAGCAGGGCCTTCTGGGAAGGCAAGCTGTGCCGAGGTCCTCCTGTGCTCAGCAGAGGTCCAGAGTAACTCTGAAAACAATGAGGCGCTCACGCGAGCAGGCAGAACATTGGCCACAATCGACAGACAGGAAGGCGACACCTCAGAAGGCACAAATGAAGGGCTTTCTAGCTCCAGAGGTTCCTCACCAAGGAGGAGCAGAGGCTCCCAGGGCGCCGGGTAGCTGTCTGTGGAGGTGAGAGGTTAGAACTTTCTTCTGGCCCAAGGAAAGAGCATCCAAAAGATGCACTCTCTAGGGCTCTCACAAGAGGAGGAGGCACTCGCCGCGAGGTAGAGGTGACACTGTCAATCAGCTGGAAAATAAGATTTCTCCAGGTAGCAGCAGCTGAATCAGGCCAGCATTTCCAGGACCCCAAACTGCTATTTCCAAGACTGATACCACAGGCGAGCAGCCTGTGTCTCACAGAAAAAGACTATCCGAAGGTGCAACCAGGACCATGGGAAGGCTCAGAAGCAGTCACCCCCTGGGAGCCATGAGCACCCCTGACACCCACACTGTGACCCCCAAGCCTCACTTCAGACATAAAAAGAGCTAAAGGCACCTTGGAGAAATGGTTCAGAGGGGTCTGAGGCAAGAAAGTCCAAGATGACCCTGGAACAAGGTGCCATGCCAGGGAACAAGTGTCCGAGGCTTCCAAGGTCAATCCAAAGGCTCAGGAACCAACTGAAGTGCCTTCCCCTGGCCAGTGACACACAACTGTCCCACCTGTTGTAACTACAATAGTCTGAAACAGCAAGTAACATAAATGCCACCACTGACGGCCACTGAGGGAACACTCACTGTCTTGGAAACTAGAAGCAAAACGAGGGAAACCAACACTTTATTCTGACTTCCCCATAAGAGCTCCACTGTGGCAGAGGGAGGTTTCTCTGAACAGAACTAATGCATCTAATAAGTGAAGAAGAAAAGCCAAGGTGGCACGTGGACGGCTGGCAACCCCTGACGGGAGAAGGC